TCCAGATCTATAACCACCCGGAACCAATCTTGGAGACAACTGGGAACCCCCTGGAACACGCAAGCCTGGTGCAGCTCTCAGTCCAGACTTGCCCAGAAATGGTGGACAAGTAGGCATTCAGGCCAGGACCGCAGCCTTCCTGCTACCCTGCGGAAGTCATGGATGTAGTCAGTTGCATGACGACCACGTTGCCTCAATGCCAGCAACTCTGCCTCAGCGCGCTGAACCCAGGAGCTGTCTTCAAAGTGGGTGTGCAACACATCCAGGAACAGCCCAGCGTCAGCCAGCTCCCGGGCATGATCGCTGTACAGGTCCGCCGCCCATGCCATTGCCTCACCCTGCAGTCCTGGTGACACTGCCACCACCATGGCCCATTGAAATGGATAGAGCCGAGCATATTGATCCAGATGGCTAATCACATGGCTTAGGAACATTGCCAGGCAATCCGGATGTCCATCAAATGTGACCAGTATGGGAGGTGGACCCCACATCAGTCCCTGACCTCAGGGTCCTATAGGGTAGGCTGAGCCACGTAATGTGTCAGCTGCAGGCAGTGGGCCTTGGATGCTGGAACCCACATCCTTCTGGCCGGAGCCCCTTCCAGCAGGCAACCCCCATGACCCAAGAGCTGACCGATCCATCTACGCAGACTGAGCCTGGACCTGCAGTGCATCCAAAGAAGACCCTCCTACCATGGAGACATCTGGAGCAGGAGGTTGTCGCAGCCACAGGCTGTCCAAATGGAACCGTCCCAAGTCAGGATGTCTGCATGGTGTCTCTGGTCAAGGCCATGAGGCTTCCTCTCTTGTGGCCATCCGTCATGGCCAGGAGGGGGCGTCCTGATAGCCTGCCTCCCTGAACTGGTCCCTCAACACGTCCTTAGTATCTTGACCAGGAGTGGTGGAATAGCTCCACTCATCCTTGTCATCTCCCGTCAGCCGTCTTTCCCGCCAGTCCATCAAAGAGGGCCTAGGACCTGGTGTTGTCACCCACCCAGGCTCCACGTTGGCCAATGCTGGGCTGTGCCACTATTCCTCAGATGCTGCAGAAAACACAGGGCCCTGGTTCTCACTCGTAGGGGCTGCAGGCCAAGGTGCCACCATTTTGGGCCTGACTACTGGCTGCAGATCCTGGGCTTCAGGCTCAGGCCCTGTTTCACCAGCTGGAGCGGCTTTGACTGTCTCAGTAGGAACCTCCTGTGTACCCTCAGCCATCTTGTCAAAGTCCACGACAACAGGCAATAAGAGGGGAACAGAAAAAAAAGGGAGTGCTGACTTACTGTCAGCTGTCCTCTGCTAGCTACTGATGAAATTCAGACACAGAAGGAACAGGTGACCAGCAAACTTTAATGCAAAAGAAAAAAGTCAGCACTGGGAGTGAACTGCTCCCAGTGCTTTACATAGATGTGCTCCACCCACCAACCCCACCCCACTTAGCAAGCCAGCATCCGGTCCATATGGATATTAGGTGCAATGCCCACCTGTGTTTCCCCTCTCCAGACACATCCACACAGCCTCTGCTGCCCCAGCCATCTGCTCGGACAACCAGGCAGCGCTCTGCCTTCCCCTCCTGCTCCTGGAGGAAGGGAGAGGCAGCCAAGGTAAGGAACAATTCCCCCCTCGTCATGCTTGCCCAGTCCCAAGGTCCAGCTGGCAGGAGGAGTGTCTCTGATGTCCAGCTCCTTGGAGGATGGCACCCGAGGTGTCTGGTGGCCATGCTGGCTCCCTGCTGCCAGCAAGGAGCCAAGCCACCTCTCAGCTGAGTCTGAGGAGCCGGGCTGACGTTCGGGTGATGGGCGGCGCCTGCCTCATCCACCGCCTCCCAGCTGGCAGGCACGTGCTGACCCAGCTCTCAGCTGAAAGTCAGGAGTCGGGCCGTTCCTCGCCGCCTTGCCGGTTCCCTGCCAACCATCTGACACCTACCTGACTCCCAGCTGATTGTCAGGAGCCGGGCAGTTCGTGGGACCCGACGGGCGTCAGTCGGCTTCTGGCTGCGTGCTTCCCATCTCCCGGCCCATGGCAAGCCCGGGGTCCTGACTCAGGGTATTTCTTAAAGTCCAAAAAGGCCAGGTAATGTTTGGAAATTAGTATAGGATGAACCCAAAGGAGGGGTCAAATGCATCATAAGTTACAAGTCCCTGCTTGCTTGCAAAAGATTCAAGTCTAGGCTAGACATGTCAAACTCACGACTTCATGTCATGTTGCACGATGTATCAGAGCTTTTTTCCCATTGCCAGCAATAGGGTGGGCATGGTTTCCTGGTGACGCGTCCGGCCCATGGGCCGGCAGTTTGACACCCCTGGTCTAGGCCATCTTGAATGCCTTTCTTATCTCCCACTCATTTCCCTTGACTGTTAGTTGGTCAGATTCTTGTGGAGAGCTTAAGCTTGCAATAAATCTTTATACTCATTTGAACTGTCTGAGTCTTCTGATTTCCCTGGCGCTTGACAATTGGATCATTACAGAAGCCACTCTAATCACAGACTCTAATAAGGAGGAAGACATAAAGCATAAAAAAGTTTACAAGCTTGTTTCATTACAGCTAATCTTGATAAAAACATTCTTAATAATTTCCTGGCAACCCTCATACATAGGGCTGAGAAGTAATATCTTTTCCAACTATGGTTTCCCATGAAAGCTATTATGGCCACAGGTAGCTAAAGATGCAATTATTACTTTTAGTCCTCAATATACAGTTATATGAAAAAGTAGTAATAATAATTATAATTATAATGTTGGAACGGACCTTGGAGGTCATTGAGTCCAACCCCCTGCTCAGACAGGAAACCCTATAACATTTTGGACAAATGGCTGTCCAGTTTCTTCTTAAAAATTTCCAGTGTTGGAGCATTCACCGCTTCTGGAGGCAGGTTGTTCCACTGCTTAATTGTTCTAACTGTCAGGAAGTTCCTCCTTAGTTCTAGGTTGCTTCTCGCCTTGATCAGTTTCCATCTGTTGTGTCTTGTCCTGCCTTCAGGTGCCTTGGAGAATAACTTGACTCCCTCTTCTTTTTGGCAGTCCCTGAGATATTGGAACACTGCTATTATGTCCCCCCCTCATCCTTCTCTTCGTTAAGCTAGACATACCCAATTCCATCAACCTTTCCTTATATGTTTTAACCTCCAGTCCCCTAATCATCTTTGTTGCTTTTCTCTGTACTCTTTCTAGAGTCTCAACATCTTTTTTACATTGTGGTGACCAAAACTGGATGCAGTATTCCAAGTGAGGCCTTGCCAAGGCACTGTAAAGTGGTATTAATACTTCACATGATCTTGATTCTATCCCTCTGTTATTGCAGCCTAGCACTGTGTTGGCTTTTTTGGAAGCTGCAGCACACTGCTGGCTCATATTTAAATGATTGTCCATTAGGACGCCGAGATCCCTCTCACTAATATTGAGCAAGGTACCCCTATACTGTACCTGTGCATTTGTTTTTTCTTGCCTAAATATAGAACCTTACTTTTTTCACCATTGAATTTCATTTTGTTAGATAGCACCTAGTGTTCAAGTCTGTCCAGATCCTCCTGTATCCTAAGCCTGTCTTCTGGAGTGTTGGCTATTCCTGCCAGCTTGGTGTCGTCTGCAAATTTGATGAGTTCCCTATCTATCCCCTTGTCCAAATCGTTGATGAAGATGTTGAAGAGAACTGGGCCCAGTACAGAGCCCTGGGGCACCCCAGTACACACTTCCCTCCATATAGATGCGGTTCCATTGAGGACCATATGCTGAGTACGGCTGGTCAGCCAGCTACAGATCCATCTGGTGGTGATGCTGTCTAACCCGCATCACCAAGTAGTATCTTATCTTATCAAGTAGTAGGTTGTGATTTACTTTGTCAAATACCTTACTGAAGTCCAAGTAAATTATATCCACAGCATTCCTCTGGTCCACTAATTTTGTCACTTGGTCAAAGAATGCAATAAGGTTTGTCTGGCATGATCTCTTTTTGATAAACCCGTGTTGACTTTTAGTAATGACTTTGTTTGCCTGTAGGTGTTCGCTGATTCGTTGTTTGATTATCTTTTCTACAATCTTCCCAGGTATTGAGGTCAGGCTGATAGGTCTGTAATTTCCTGGATCCATTTGTTTCCCTTTTTGGAAGATGGAAACTACATCAGCTCTTTTTCAGTCCTCTGGTAGTTCCCCAGTGCTCCAGGATCTTTGAAAAATATAGTTCAGTGGTTCTGTGATCACGTCTGCCAGTTCCTTGAGAACCTTGGGATGTAATCCATCTGGTCCTGGTGATTTGAACTGATCTAGGCTGGACTGGTGCTCACTTACCATTTTCTTGTCTATCTTAACTTATGTTTCTATTCTGTTTTTTATGGCACTATTTTTGATAGATTGGTCTGCTTTTTCCCTTTGTATAAAGACAGGTGTGAAAAACAAGTTAAATAGTTCTGCTTTCTCCCTGTTGCTTGTCACCTTCTTGCCACTTTTACCCACTAATGGACCAATAATTTTCTTTTTTTTCTTGTTTTTTACATGTTGAAAGAAGCTTTTTTTGTTATTTTTGACTTTGGTCGCAAACCTTAGTTCATTTTGAGCCTTAGCTTTCCTCACTTCATCTTTGCAGGCTCGGGCTATTTGCTGATATTCTGACTTAGTTATGTGTCCCTCTTTCCACTTTCTATACTTGTCCTTCTTATCTTTCAAGTAAGCACACCCTCTTTGAGTTCTATGGTTTTATGTGTCAGGACATAGTAAAAATAATATGATCCTTAGCATTTCTTAAAAGTAAGTAAAAACAATCTCAGATGAAAAACAACACATGACATATTATACCATGATATTATTTATTTTACAAAAAGAAAACCAAAATGAGAAGTTAAGACCATAGATCACATTTGTAAAACCATAGAAGTCAAAGAGGGTGTACTTACTTTTTCATGTGAGTGTACATTTGATTCTAGCAACAAGATCATGGATTGGACTAGAAGACCTCCCGGGCCCCTTTCAACTCTGTTATTCTGTTATATCATTCTTTTATTGAAATATTACCTGCCAAGATTGCAGGTTTTCAAACTCAAGACTTTGTTCCCCTGTTCTTACTCTGTGTTTGATCTTTGATGAGCGCATAGCATGGAGAGCATGAGCTACCACATAGACAGCATTGTAGATACTATAGCTGTGGCCATTCATTCTCACTTCAAAAACAGACCGAGGAGGCTTATCCAGGTTCTCCTTCCCAGTACATAGTTCCTCTTGCTCCAATGGCTCTTCAGTATTTGGAAATGAACATTCAAAAACATGTTCCCAGAACAACTGGAGAAAACCATCACCTTCAGGCTGATATGGGTTTTTCTTCTGAAGATACCTCTGGAATTCTTGAAGTTCTTTGGAATGAATTGCAAAGGATATAGCACCTTGGAACATTTGAAAATCCATCCGTCTGGTCACGCCCGTTACTGCAAATTCCATCTGGGCTGTCATGATCCAGACCTTCCCAATATATGTGTTTTCAGACACAAGAAATGCATCATAGGTGAGTAACCACAAAAAAGTCAGAGTATCTCCATAGATAACAAGGGCTTTGGCCCTCTGATCCACGTGGATATTTCTAAATTTACCCATGTCATTGTGAGAAAAGACACGACCTTGATATGGGAACAACTGTATGAAAGCGGTACAGATTCCTTTCTCCAAAAACAAGGCTTCTATGGTTTTTAAGAAATATTTTCCACTGTCATCACCTCCTGTCAAAAGACCTACCCATGTCCAGCCAAAATGTAGAAGCAAATGGATAATTCCCATGTACTGGTTTTTATCATTTGGGACCATGCGATAAAATTTCGGAACTTCAGTTGTTAAAATTTCTTCTGGAGCAAATGATCCATAGGTGAGCTTAAAGACAAAATGCAGAGGAGAATGATATATTTTTGTAAATAAATCATATCTGCAGAAAAGAAACTCTTCACTATTTCTCTTTGCGAAAATAAACAGTTCTCCTGTTATTTTTATTTATTCATTAATTTATTTATTAAATTTATTCGCCACCCATCTCAAAAATACAAATTATCAGCTATAAATAAAACTAAACATTTGCTTATTTAATAGAGATGGGGTAATATGTGGTAAACATTAATTAGGTATTAGGTAAGAGCCATGGTGCAGTGGTTAGAATGTAATATTGCAGGTTAACTCTGCCCACTGCCAGCAATTTGATCCTGATGGGCTCAAGGATGACTCAGCCTTCCATCCTTCTGAGGTCAGTAAAATGAGGACCCAGATTGTTGCGGGCAATATGCTGATTCTGTAAACTGCTCAGAGAGGGCTGCAAAGTGATATATAAGTCTAAATGCTATTACTAATTAGAAAAAAGTATTTTGAAACTCATCATCCTAGGAGTCCTTATTTCTCAACTAATCTAAATCTATTCCTCATCTTTTATAGTACCATGAACACATCTACACACCACTGCAAAGAGACAAACAAAAAATCCAAAAGTAAACAAAAGACCCAAACATCTCCTCACCAGGAATCAACACCCATATGAGCAGAGATTAACACCAACATTAACACTAGACCAACAGTCAATAAATAATATCCCAATCAAGGAACTACCAATGCAGATAGACAAGCTAACACTAAACAACAGCCTAACCAAGGAACCACCAGGAACATTCCCCCTCAATGCTGATAGGGCAAGCCACTAGTACATAAAAATAAGAGCAAACCCCATTCCATTCTAGCAATGATAGTGTTACCTAATTTGGCAATAAAATGCTTGCAAAAAAAAAAACCCCACCCATGAACATAGAAAGCACCAAGGACCCCATAGACCTTAATTTTCTAGCTCCCTTTTCTCATTCCAAAATCACTTGTGTGATGACTAGAAGATAAGTAAAAAATAGCAAAGGCCATATTCCCTGTTGCAATGCATCTGTCAACTCTACAACAAATCTGGCTGTAGCCATCTTAGTTGTTATAGGTTGCCACATGAAAGGGAGGGGAAATTGAGTATCTCTGCTAGTCTAAACAATGTTATGTCCCATGAGAATCAAGGTCATTCTCTAGCTTGGGAGAAAAGGGTTGGGTATTTTGTTAGAAAGCCCACAAAATTGTTTTATTGAGTAGTGTGATTAATTGTATAACATTGGTGGGGGGGGAGATTTTACTTTGTAACAGTGTAACTCTTTGGAGGGAATTTCAGACTTGGCTTCACTTTTGATTGTGCCAATATTTTGTATCCAATAAATATGTTCTTGTAGGAAGCTACAAGGCTTGGTATTCTGATTTATTTGGCTCTATCTATTGGAACCTTGACAGCATCATTCTCACCTGTGGAATCTTGTAGAGTCCTAAAACATCTGCCATGTGAAAAGAGGTGTCAGATCCAAGACCTCCAATTACAGAAATTACATTTTTGGGGGCTCCACATTCATAGTTTGGAACAAAACTGCACAATTTGAAGAGCAAATTGAGAAGACTGTAATAGGTCATCCGATCATCATAGTAGGTGTCATAGATGTACAGGCCCAGTGTGACATTTGGCAAAATTGTTGGAGATTCATTGATGGTATTTACAGCAAATGCCAAAGCCAAAGCATTCTGGTAGAATTTGGTTAGCATCCTTCAAATAGAGTTATAAGTCATTTCATAAATAAATGTTGTGATGTGATCAATACCAATCTGGTTGACACAAGTCTAGTGAAATTGCAGAGTGGCTGCATTATGAAGATTAATCAGATGTTTCAAAAGGGGTGAATGATTAAGAGAGGAGACAATAATGAAAAGGATAAGGGGGAAATCACATGGTTGAAATACATGGGGTTTTGAAATTTAACTGAACAGAACTACATATTTAGAAGTCAGTAAAAAGTGTCCAAATTAAAATAGATTAGGTTAGATTAAATTAGAAATAGACAGACAGGCAGGCAGACAGACAGATGTGTGTGTGTGTGAGAGAGAGAGAGAGAGAGAGAGAGAGAGAGAGAGAGAGAGAGAGAGAGAGAGAGAGAGAGAGAGAGAGAAAGAGAGGAGAGTTAAAGTTAGAGTTAGAGTTGGACTTACAGCAGGCTTAGACTTAGTCAATAAAAAGTGTCCAAATTAAAATAGATGGACAGACAGACATACATACATACATACATACATACTTACATACAGACAGACAGACAGACAGATAGATAGAGGTGTGTGTGTGAGAAAGAGAGAGACAGAGAGATGAATTAGTTGGAATTAGACTTATACTTTGTGTTTAGTGTTACTAAACAGTGTCACAATAATTTTAAGTACAGGTTATTCACAATCCTGAATTGCAACATTTAATTGTTAGGATGGCAAAAGATAGTCCTCTAAAATATTATTCCCTCCCTCCCTCCCTTCCTTCCTTCCTGCCCCCGATTACTGCATATGAAGTTTTTGATTCAGAAAAGCAGTTACAGAAATTATTCTACCTGCTCATCACTTTCAACTTCTGAAGCTTTTTCCAGCCCCAGTACATTGTTTTCACAGATGTAACAAAAACTTAACTTTTTGACTTCCAGTTTGCCATGGACATGTGGAAGACAAGCTCCATATTCCACGTCCGATTTTGCACTGCTGGGGGACCCTGGAAAGGGTCAAAAGTCACCATGTAGGGGCAGCAAGCAAGGAGGGGACTCCCGCTTGATCACAAAAGGGCAGTAGCTGACTGTGGTTCAGATCATGAGCTTCTCGTTGCAAAATTTAAGCTTAAATTGAAGAAAGTAGGAAAAAGCACTAGGCCACTCAGGTAGGAACTAAATCATATTTCTGATGAATATACAGTATAGGTGACAAATAGATTTAAGGAATTAGATCTGATAGACAGAGTGCCTGAAGAACTATGGATGGAGGTTCACAACATTGTACAAGAGGTAGCAACAAAAACCACCCCAAAGAAAAATAAATGCAAGAAAGCAAAATGGCTGTCTGAGGAAGCTTTGCAAATAGCTGAAGAAAGAAGGGAAGTGAAAGGCAAAGGAGAAAGAGAAAGATACACCCAATTGAATGCAGAATTCCAGAGAATAGCTAGAAGAGCTAAGAATACCTTCTTAAATGAACAGTGCAAAGAAATAGAAGAAAACAACAAAATAGGGAGGACAAGAGATCTCTTCAAGAAAATTGGAGATATGAAGGGAACGTTTAATGCAAAGATGGGCATGATAAAGGACCATAATGGCAGGGACCTAGCAGAGGCAGAAGAGATTAAGAAGAGGTGGCAAAGCTACACAGAAGAACTATACAAGAACGAGCTTAACGTCACTGACGTCGAGCCAGACATCCTAGAATGTGAAGTGAAATGGACCTTAGGAAATCAACAAAGCTAGTGGAGGTGACAGTATTCCAGCTGAGCTATTCAAAACCTTAAAAGACGATGCAGTAAAAGTGCTACACTCAATTTGCCAGCAAATTTGGAAAACTCAACAGTGGCCACAGGATTGGAAAAGATAAGTTTACATTCCAATTCCAAAGAAAGGCAATGCCAAAGAATGTTCAAACTATCACACCATTGCACTCATTTCACATGCTAGTAAAGTTATGCTTAAAATCCTACAATCTAGACTCCAGCAATATGTGGATCGAGAACTACCAGAAGTACAGGCAGGATTTCGAAGAGGCAGAGGAACTAGAGATCAAATTGCCAACATATGCTAGATCATGGAGAAAGCTAGGGAGTTCCAGAAAAACATCTACTTCTGCTTCATTGACTATGCAAAAGCCTTTGATTGTGTGGATCACAACAAATTGTGGCAAGTTCTTAAAGAGATGGGAGTACCAGACTATCTTATTTATCTCTTGAGAAACCTATATGCGGGTCAAGAAGCAACAGTGAGAACTGGACACGGAACCACTGATTGGTTCAAAATTGGAAAAGGAGTCCGGCAAGGCTGTATACTGTCGCCCTGTCTATTTAACTTATATGCAGAGCACATCATGAGAAAGGCAGGGCTAGATGAATCAAAAGTTGGAATTAAGATTGCCGGGAGAAATATCAACAACCTAAGATATGCAGATGATACCACTCTAATAGCAGAAAGTGAAGAGGAACTAAAGAGCCTCTTGATGCGGGTGAAGAAGGAAAGTGCAAAAGTTGGCTTGAAACTCAACATTAAGAAAACCAAAATCATGGCATGTGGCCCTCTCAATTCCTGGCAAATAGATGGGGAAGAAATGGAGGTAGTGACAGATTTTATTTTTCTGGGCTCCAAGATCACCTCAGATGGGGACTGCAGCTAAGAAATTAAAAGTCGCTTGCTCCTGGGAAGAAAAGCTATGGCAAATCTAGACAGCATACTAAAAAGCAGAGACATCACCCTGCCAACAAAAGGGTGTATAGTCAAGGCCATGGTTTTCCCAGTTGCAATGTATGAATGTGAAAATTGGACCATAAGAAAGGCTGAGCGACAAAGAATTGAGGCCTTTGAACTATGGAGCTGGAAAAGACTCCTGCAAGTCCCTTGGACTGCAAGGCGTTCAAACCGGTCAGTCCTATAAGAGATCAACCCCGACTGCTCTTCAGAAGGCCAGATCCTGAAGTTGAAACTCAAGTACTTTGGCCACCTAATGAGAAGGAAGGACTCACTGGAGAAGGGCCTAATGCTGGGAAAAATTGAGGGCAATAGAAGAAGGGGACGACAGAGAATGAGATGGCTGGATAGAGTCACGGAAGCAGTAGGTGTAAGCTTAAATGGTCTCCAGAAGATGGTAGAGGACAGGAAGGCCTGGAGGAATGTTATCAATGGGGTCGCGATGGGTCGGACATGACTTCGCAATTAACAAAAACAAGAGGACATGGATGAAGATTAGGAACAGATTTTCTCTATGTTGAAAACAACATATGAAACTATTCCTATAGCTTCTGATGAAATAAGGAGCTACAGAAAAGAACAAGATGTCAGCCTAGATATATGAACCCAAACTTTGATTACAACTAAAGAATCAACTACACAGAATATAATAGAAGAAGTGGAACAATCAATACTATGATAGAAGATTCAACTGATCAACAAATGCAGTTAACTGAAAACCCAGAAAAGGGATTGAATATATTCAAGTAGATAAGATGTGTACTTTGAATACTAGATCTTGTTATGAACTGAGATAAAGAAAATTTTGGTAATTTAAAACTTGGAAGTATAAATATCAAAAGTTAAATTTGAATATTGATTTGTTTATAAAGGCTGAATGTAAAAGTAACTAAGATATATATAAGCTAAAAAACTATTGATAAATGTAATAAATATGTTTTTACTTATAATAAGAACTGTATTAACTTAAATAGGAGATAATAGACATTAAGAGAAAAAGAGAGGAAATATTTGATATTGAAATAAGAGAAACTTTGTTACTAAATTTAAGACATTTGGAAATTAGTAGAAAATAAGAATGTTATACTGTATTATTAATTAGATGATGTTATACTGTATTATTAATTAGATGATGTAAGATGATGAGAAATAGAATGTATTTAAATAGACATGTATCCTGAATATTAGACTTTGTGATTAATTGTGATAAAGGGAACTTTGGTTACTTAAAACTTAGAAATTATAAATATTAAATGTTAATTTAAATATTAATGGGAAACCAAAAATTGGGAAAAACTAATTAGGAAATTTATTGTCTATAAAGAATGAATGTTAAAACAATCAGGATAAGTATAAGCTAAAAATTATTGATAAATGTAAGAATGTTATTTTTATTTAATTAATATAAGAAGAATTGTATTAGTTTAAACATGAGATAGTAAATACTAAGGGCAAAAGAGAGGAAATATTTAATGTGATAGTTTGAGACTTATGCTAAAGATATTTGTATGTCATTGAATTATCAATTAACTCAGCCGCCACATTGCTTTTTTAAATACTTAAATGTAAAATTAGAAAATCAATAAAACATTAAAAAAATTAACTTTTCTCCCATTTAACAGAATGGTGTAAATTCACCAAAATTGAGAAAACAAAGGGTCATACTTTTCAAGAAAGAAAAGGGAGAATAATAGCAAAAACCTAGAATCAAGATGAAGGGAACAATGTTTGGAAATGTCAATTAATCCATTTAATCTGGATGCATGTATATATACCATTCAAAATAAGTTTTGATTTAGCAAATGGGATTGAATTGCTTACAGTGGAAGATCAAAGCCAATGACCTGTGGAGGGTAATTTCTGAAAGCAATTTCATTGAATACATAAAAGATTTGTGAAGTCATCCCACCAATGAGAAGTGTCCCTGGCTGATACCACTCATGAGGAACAGTGAGGGATCTAGTTGATGGGCACCGTGCAGCTGCACTTTGGCACTCTTCAAGTGACAGCAAAAGGAACAGTGCCAAGAGTCTCACCATCCTTGCAGGCTTGTTTGCCTGGAAAATAGATTCTGCTGTATCTGATTCCAGTTTTGGACACAAAGCAGCAACATCTCTCAATATAGCATTGCACAACAAACACAGGGAAATAATTCTCCCACTCCACCAAACAGTTCAGAGATCTAAAGCCATTCTGGTTCAAACTGATAGAAAACTTGATAGATTCAAATGGACAGAGTCTGGGCTTGCCTCTTTCTTAAATCCACTTGTATTTTATAAACTCTATCTCAGCTGCACACTGAGATCTCTCTTGCTATCTTCTGAAGAACTGTTGGAGTTCTGATAGAGGAAACTAATTATAATTATGGGGTAATTGTTGGAGAGACAATTAACTCTGCTGTGTATTAGCAACAATACATTGGTTGCAGATGTTCTTTTTTGTGTTCTTGATGGTTTCTCTGATGGGACAGCCAGTGGGAGATAGCTTCCAAGATGATCACGTTAATTAAATATGAGCAGAATAGCATAGCCCATTGGTGTAGTTGGATCAAGGGAAAAATAATAAATAAATATTCTGCTGTTCCTTATGTTCCACAATGGGTTGAAACATGTTCATCTAGTAATATGTTTATTGAAAGAACTGAGTTTGAAACTTTTTCGCATGATTTCCTTCAAAGAGAAGCAATACTAACATGTATTTCTGGATACATTTTCAAAATGTAATAAAATGGTTCAGAATGGTATTAATGTATCAATTGATCCCCCAACCATTTCCAAATTGAGATATTTACAAATTGCTGGAATTGGGTATGTCTAGTTTAATGAAAAGAAGGACTATGGGTGACATGATAGCAGAGGTCCAATATCTAAGGGGTTGCCACAAAGTAAAGGGAGTCAACCTATTCTCCAAAGAGAATAAAGCCAGGACAAGAAGCAACGGATGGAAACTAATCAAGGAGAGAAGCAACCTAGAACTAAGGAGAAATTTCCTAACAGTTAGAACAATTAATCAGTGGAACAACCTGCCTCCAGAAACTGTGAACGCTCCCACGCTGGAACGTTTTAAGAAGAGATTGGACAACATTTGTCTGGAATGGTATAGTTTTTTCCTGCCTGAGCAGTGTGTTGGACTAGAAGACCTCCAAGGTCCCTTCCAACTCTGTTATTCTATATTTGGATACTTGGATATTTAGATTTGGATATTTGGAAAGATATCCAAATTTATTGGGTTGCAATCTCCATCCTCTTTAATCAGTTCAACTACTGTAATGATAAAAATGTTTGTTTCTATTCTTTTTGTACAGGATCTCCTGCCTGAACAGGGGAGTTAGACTGGAAGACCTCTAAGCTCCCTTTCATTTCTGTTACAGGTAGTTCTCAACTGATAACCACAACTGAGCCAAAAATTTATATTGGTAAGTAAGACATTTGTTGAGTGAATTTTGCCCCATTTTACAACTTTTCTTGCTATGGTTGTTTCAGTGAATTATTGCAGTTCTTAAGTTAGCAACATGGTTGTTAAGTGAATCCGACTTCCCCGTTGACTTTGCTTGTCAGGAACTCACAACAACTGTAATCCTGGGACACTGCAAATGTCATAAATATGAATCAGTTGCCCAGCATCCAAATTATGACAATGTGACCATGGGGATGCTGCAAGAGTCATAAGTGTGAAAAATGGTCATAAGTCACTTTTTCCCATGCCGTTGTAACTTTGAACGGTCACTGTATCTATATTCTGCTCTGTATTCTTCATGTTTATCTTCCCGTTCACTTCCAGCCAACAAATTAAGATAGTATTCCTCTAGGCACAAATTGAGACACTAATAATAAGTCAAGCCGAAGAATATGAACACATTCAAAGAGAAGATTCAACTTCAGCTTATCATCTTTTCCTTGACATACCACTACTGTTTAAGCAGTTCAAGAGACTTCAGTATCAATATCGGGACTGCGTTAATATGAAAACCATGGAACCATGTCAAGTTCTAAGGTAAATCTCTGCAAGATTCATCCCTTGAGTCAGGGAGAAAGATGGTTAGATATTAAATCTTTATTGGATTTCAGGAAAGGTAAATAAATCAATAAAATAAAGATAAATCGCCACTTATTTGGGGTACCATTATTCGCTTATTTTTTCATGCAAAAGGAGAACGCCAAAAGAGGCCTTAAAATTATTTTCATTCTATATATTTTTTTTTCTTTCACGAGGGGGCAGCAAAGTTCTAGAAAGAGAATTATTTTGCTCATGGAGAAAACTGAACTAGACGATCAAGGATGGATGGATAGATAGATAGATAGATAGATAGGTAGGTAGGTAGGTAGGTAGGTAGGTAGGTAGGTAGGTAGGTAGGTAGGTAGGTAGGCAGGCAGGCAGGCAGGCAGGCAGGCAGGCAGGCAGGCAGGCAGACAAACTTTATTGGCACAATGGCACACATTAAAAATGAAATGTAGTTGCTTGCTCTCAAAGTGTACACATACATAACAACACATTTAAACATACTATATACAACATAGAAAACCCAGATCATGGCATCCGGCCCTCTCAGTTCCTGGCAAATAGATGGGGAAGAAATGGAGGTTGTGACAGATTTTATTTTTCTGGGGTCCAAGATCACCTCAGATGGGGACTGCAGGCAAGAAATTAAAAGACGCTTGCTCCTGGGGAGGAAAGCTATGGCAAATCTAGACAGCATACTAAAAAACAGAGACATCACCCTGCCAACAAAAGTGCATATAGTCCAGGCCATAGTTTTCCCAGTTGCAATGTATGGCTGTGAAAGTTGGGCCATAAGAAAGGCTGAGCGACAAAGAATTGAGGCCTTTGAACTATGGTGCTGGAGAAGAATCCTGCGAGTCCCTTGGACTGCAAGACGTTCAAACCGGTCGGTCCTAGAAGAGATCAACCCCGACTGCTCTTTAGAAGGCCAGATCCTGAAGTTGAAACTCAAATACTTTGGCCACCTAATGAGAAGGAAGGACTCACTGGAGAAGGGCCTAATGCTGGGAAAGATTGAGGGCAATAGAAGAAGGGGACGACAGAGAATGAGATGGCTGGATGGAGTCACTGAAGCAGTAGGTGTGAACTTAAATGGACTCCAGAAGATGGTAGAGGACAGGAAGACCTGGAGGAACGTTGTCCATGGGGTCGCGATGGGTCGGACACGACTTCGCAATTAACAACAACAACAACAACATATACAACATATGTATAGACCTACACTCTTACATATAAGTAACACATATATATTATTCACTGTCCATCTTGAATACATAGCGGAAGGAGGAAGCTTTAGAGTTCACACGATTAATACTGTATGGAACAAAACTGTGACCGAATCTGGATGTTCTGCTTTGGATACCAAGGATATAGATGTATCTATGTTGAGTGTTACTTTCTGGGATGCTTCCTTTAGAATTACATCCATTATTCTCATCCATTGAGAACTTCTCTCCTCCCCCCCCCCAGAAGAAATAAATTTATTTCTTAGATTCTTTTTAATCCCGTCTTTATTATTTTTAGAAGTAATTCAAGCTGGCAAAATACAGGTAGTCCTTAACTTAAAGTTCATTTAGTTGACTGAAATTGAAACTGAAGACAGCATTGAAAAAAGTGACTTAGGAACACTTTCCGCACTTACGACCATTGTAGTATCCCCATGGTCATGTGATAAAAAAATCAGACTCTTGGCAACTGACTCATATTTATGATGGTTACAATATCTCAAGGGTCACGTGATCACCTTTTGTGACCTTCAATGGGAAAACCAGATTCACTTAATAATCATGTTACTACTTTAACAACTGCAGTGACTCACTTGACAACTGCAGCAAGAAAGGTCATAAAATTGCCCAAAACTCATTGAACAAATGTCTCACTTACCAACATAATTTTCTGGTTCAATTGTAGTCATAAGTCAAGGACTACCTGTACCTGATATTTCTTCCTTTATTTTCCCCAAAACAACAGCCCTGTGAACTGAGTTCAGTTGAGAAAGAGCAACTGGCCCAAAGTCACCTACCCACTTTTAAGAAAAAAAAAAACTTTCTTAAATTAAGAAAGTTTCTCTTCTGACATTGAAGTGAAACCATCAGTCAGGATAAGATGACTCTTCTTTAACTCTTTGTCATATTGAGATTCTTTCACAAAAGGGAACTTCCTACCAAGACATATCATTTATGATCTATACTTGCCTATTATAATACAAGTAGTCCTTACAATCTTTCTAATAATAATAATAATAATAATAATAATAATAATAATAATAATAATAATAATACTGCATATAACATATAACAAATGTATATTTGTTATAATAACAAATGCATAACAAATGCATATAACAAATGCATATAAAGTCAAAATTGAGAAGACAGCAACAGACAGTAAGTGCCACCTATGCAAAGAAGCTGAAGAAACAGTGGACCACTTGGTAAGCTGTTGCAAGAAGATTGCACAGACTGACTACAAGCAGTGGCATGACAAAGTAGCAACAATGGTGCATTGGAAGATCTGCAAAAAATATCATTTGCCTGTAAGCAAAAACTGGTGGGATCATAAAATAGAGAAAGTCATAGAAAATGATAAAATTAAACTGCTCTGGGACTTCAGAATTCAAACAGACAAGCACCTGCAACATAACACCCCAGACTTAACAATTGTCGATAAGAAAAACACAAAAGTCTGGATAGTGGACGTGGCAGTGTCTGGAGACAGCAGAATAGAAGAGAAAGAATTGGAGAAGATAACAAAATACAAAGACCTACAAACAGAAATAGAAAGACTGTGGCAAAAGCAAGCAAGGGTAGTACCAATAGTAAGAGGCTCCTTGGGTGCAATCCCAAAACAACTGGAGCACCACTTGAACACCATTGGCATTGACAAATTCGCTATTAGTCAGTTGCAAAAGGCGGCCTTACTAGGAACTGCTTCCATCCTGCGACGATATCTGTAATACCATCAAACATCCACATCTGCCTATCCCAGGTCCTGGGCAAGGACTCGATAGGTAGATAAAATGCCAAATCCAGTCTGAACA